AGTGGTTTTGGCCCCAGACAGTTTCCTGTCACTTAGGCTTCCCTTTGTATATGGTGTACAATTGGAAGATGGAACTTTGCATTCTCTTAAGCCTTTTGAACACCAGCCTGAACTTACTGCCTGGATTACCAGTGGCACAACACTGAAGGTTGTCTCCAATGATAGCAATTGTGAGCGAGGATTTCAGACATAGTTAATGGACTTCCAGTTTGGATGATGCTAATTGATAAACTGATTGCAATTGTGGAGTTCCAGTTTTCGGATAAATCCTTCACTGCAGGTAAACATTTGATCTAGTTCATACTTCCTGTACTTTTCCTCATTATGACTCACGATATATCATTTGTTGAAGACCTCTTAATCAATCTGTGTTCTGACTTCGAGAACATCCATTACAAAGCAAATGGACACGGTTTGTTTGACATTTCCTAGATTTTGCCTTTCCCTGAGGCTCTCATAGTCATACACTCATAAGAACAAGTGCACAATGAAGCAAGTTTTTAGAGCTTTTGCTATGCCTGACTTATGGATAGATATTCTTAGCACATACACTGTTTGTTGCCATTTTGGTACTCCTAGAAACTTAATGCTATTATGTTTTGTTTGATACTTCATTTATTGGGCAAAAGTTTTATGGATCGAAGTAGATGGAAGTGTTTCTCACAAAAACTATTTTCCAGGTGTCCTTCACTTTGGATCCCCATTTTTCATACAAGAAGGAAAAATGGAAGTTTACCCACTTCACTAAGTAGAGTGAATGTCTTGCTCTCAGGGTTCCACTATCCAGCTGCTGTTCAACCAAGACAATGGCCGATTTGCCACAAATTTAGAAGGCTTTTCAAAGTTCAGGTAGATCCAGTCCCAATTAACCTTCTTCTGAGTGAGACTCGCTTTTCATGTGGGGAGAGAGGCAAAAAACAGGTATGTTGAATGTAGTACGTTATTCTTGACGAAAAATCTGGCTGATTAGGCTAATAAGCCGAACTTACAGAGAGGGGTTCAATGTTTCAATTGTTTTGCAGTAAAAGATCAAGCATTAATGTGGGGCCACATCCGGAGTTGACATTGGATTGGGGGTGAGACGGGGGATCATTGTTTTGAATGAGCTGTCTTGTTCTCGTCCGGCAAGAAACAATTCTATGAGCTGCTGCCCGTCTTCAGTGGCTGCATGGAACAAGAGAGTTCTATTTGCCACAAGAGTTCTTCGGGAAAGAAGAAACCAAAACATCTTGGAGTGGAAAGGTTGGAACAAACGACTAAAAACTTCTTAGTCTTCTGGGTAACAAACAACTAAAAAGCTTCTTAATCTTCTGGGTTAGTAACATTTCATCTTTGCAAGTATATGTAATGAGGGTGCCAGAAAGTTGTTTCTGAACAAATAGCAACCTGCAGTTGATCAGTTTGCACTATAAGTGTACTATTGTTATTATCTATTGATAATTCCATCATTTCTGATTGCTTGTGTTTTGTTAAGAAATGAGAAGAAAAACACTCAGAGTTTGCTAGAGAGTTTATTTTCACTTTTATTAATCTTGACTGCCTGCTTGTATATTTGGGTGTACATTACAATTTACAAGGATCCTAAACTTCTATTTATAATAGATGAACTTAGAGTCAACACTATACAAATGGTGACTAATGACTATTAAGATAATCACATACTCCGTATAATGTATATTTATGTAAAGCTGCAAATTACTCTCTTCGTCCTACAAAAAGATTACATTTTTTTCGTTTGTCCAAAAACAATTCCATTTTTTACTTTTGGAAAAAGGTTTGTGAATGATTATTATCAATTTCACCCACACAAGTTTATTTTTCTCAATCTTCGGGTTCGGATCATTTCGGGTGTTCGGTTCTATTTCGGTTCTTCAATTTTCGGGTCAAATCGAGTTCGGTTCCGGGTTATTCGGTTCGGGTTATCGGGTCCGGGTCAGTTTTGTCAGGTCTATATATATGATCAAATATGAGCTTTACTCATTAGAAACGTGATAGTCACGAAGTAATAATTAAATCCCAACCATTTAAATATCAACAATAGTTTTTCCAAAATCCTTACTAAAATACATTATTCAAAACAATTTTGTGAAATTTATGATATTTTTCATCTTCAAGACTACTTTCACCATTGTCAGCACACTCCATTCCACACAAAAAAAACGCCATTGTTCGCCTTCAGACAAAGATTCAACAACAACAACAACCCAGTTAAATCCCACAAGAGTAGGGTCTGGGGAGGGTGTGTGTACGCAGACCTTGCCCCTACTCGAAAGTAGAGAGGCTGTTTCCAAAGAGACCCCCGGCTCAGCAATGCAACTTTCGACGTTGAGCCGGGGGTCTCTTTGGAAACAGCCTCTCTACTTTCGAGTAGGGGCNCCCAGTTAAATCCCACAAGAGTAGGGTCTGGGGAGGGTGTGTGTACGCAGACCTTGCCCCTACTCGAAAGTAGAGAGGCTGTTTCCAAAGAGACCCCCGGCTCAGCAATGCAACTTTCGACGTTGAGCCGGGGGTCTCTTTGGAAACAGCCTCTCTACTTTCGAGTAGGGGCAAGGTCTGCGTACACACACCCTCCCCAGACCCTACTCTTGTGGGATTTAACTGGGTTGTTATTGTTGTTGAATCTTTGTCCGAAGGCGAACAATGGCGTTTTTTTGTGTGGAATGGAGTGTGCTGACAATGGTGAAAGTAGTCTTGAAGATGAAAAATATCATAAATTTCACAAAATTGTTTTGAATAATGTATTTTAGTAAGGATTTTGGAAAAACTATTGTTGATATTTAAATGGTTGGGATTTAATTATTACTTCGTGACTATCACGTTTCTAATGAGTAAAGCTCATATTTGATCATATATATAGACCTGGCAAAACTGACCCGGACCCGATAACCCGAACCGAATAACCCGAAACCGAACCCGATTTGACCCGAAAACTGAAGAACCGAAATAGAACCGAACACCCGAAATGATCCGAACCCGAACCGAACCCGAACCGAATGTATTAAGACCCGATTCAGACTCGAATCCGATTAAACCCGAATCCGATTAAACCCAAACCCGATTAAACCCGAACTCGGTTAAACCCGGAACCGATTAGACCCGAACCCGATTAGACCCGAAATTGATCAAATTCATTAATATTTCATTTATCAAATGAATTTGGAGAAAATAAATTACCTATATATTTTTACATATGTTGATGTGTTTCTAAAAAACATATTTAAATAATGGGTGCAAACCATGTAACTACTTTCATGTACAAATCTTTTACTTTGCATTTTATAACTTAAGTTAAAATACTTTTGTATTTTTATAGAAAGTATATAAAAATTATAATTAACTAAATTTATTATGTGATTTATTCATTTATTAGTATGTATGTGTTTACATTATACTTGAACTAATATAAATTTAAACCGATATAAACTCAAATGTATATAAACCCAAATCAATACAACCCGAATTGATACAAACCTGAACCGATATAACCCGAACCGATACAAACCCGAACCGATATAAACTCGAACCGATATAAACCCGAACCGATATAAACCCGAACCGATACAAACCCGAACCGATACAAACCCAAACCAAACCGAAAACCAATCAAACCGAAATAAACCCGGAACCGAACTGACCCGAACCGAACCGACCCGAACCGATTATAACATATATCCGAAAGAGACCCGAACCGAAAAGACCCGAACCGGAATCGAACCGATTGACCCGATTGCCAGGTCTACATATATACCATTACAGTTTTTTTATTTGGTTCTCTCAATAAATTAGTCTCACTTGAAGCTTGCAAATCCTCATACCAATATATAAATTTTAGCTGGGTATTGTCTTTAGAATTTAACTTGCGATTTTTGTATTTGACATTTTTTTGTGTACGTGAAACCTTATTTACAATTTCTATTATTTTCTCTCTTCCTCGTGCTAATCACTCAACCCTAACTATATTTACTCATTCAAATTTAGCCGAGTGAGGTGCATGTGCATCACTTATTTTATATAAAGAGGTCCGACCCACTTAGTTGTGCTTGAAAAAATATCTTTCAACATTTTGAACATAGTTCATATTACTTCTGTCAAAAACTCTTCCTAATCTGATTATTTTTGGTCAAATTGCTCTACATATTGATCATTAATAAAATTGGCTAAATAAAAAACTACCTCCCAAAAAGTTTTTCCTTGTCTAATCATTTTTAGATTGAGGGAAATGCAAGTCCTTTTTCGAAATTGGAAATGCAAGATTTCTATCAAGTCCTTTTTTGAAATCGGAAATGCAAGATTTCTTGAGCATGTTGAGTTTGAGGGGGAAGATAAGGTTAGGAACGTTGTCTTTGAAGAAGAATCTATTTTTCTACCAGATGTTTTTGACAATTATGAACCAATTGATATTGTTCAAGACACATTCAATGACAACGTTGAAGGTTTACCTATAAACCTTCCCATTCAAAATCCAGAGGTTTCTTTTGAAGAACAAACCCAACAACCTCAAGAAGTGCCACTTAGGCGATAATACTAGAGAGAAAAGAAGCAAAATTTTAAATGACTATATTATATTTCTTCAAGAGCATGAGTTTGACATAGGGATAAAAGAAAATAACCCAATCAATTTCCAACAAGTCAAACAAGTTGCTAATTGTCAAAAGTGGATTGATTCCATGAATGAGGATATGAAATCCATGAAAGACAATGGGGATGTTTTGTTGAAATTATTTTTTCAACTCATTATTTATTCTTGTTAAAATCAAATAAGATCAAACTAGATCAAATTTGATCAAATCAGACTAGATCTGATCAGATTCAGTTTTAACAGTAACTTCAACCAGATTCACAACCAGGTAAGGTAAGGTGAACTAGACGTACCCTAGGTCATCGAAATCCAAAGCACACAAGGGCAAATTGAAAGGCACACTTGAAAAATTAAATAAAATATATGTTGACATAGAAGCATAGGACTTAAGTATCTAAATGGGACAATTGATTTATAGGGTAAATCAGCAGAGCATTTTTTTTTTGTCAACAGCGGACTCCATAAGAGAATCAAACACAGACAGAGTAGTAAAAGAACACAAGAGATACTGTTAACAAGCCGATCCAAAAACAAACACTTGAGCTATACAGGTCGGAGCCAGCGGCGGCACCACCGCCACTCCTCCCCGACTTGGCAAACCGGAACTCTGTTCCAAAGCCACGGGACTGCTGCAATGTTTGAGCAAACGCCTGGTATTTGCGCATGTCAGCATCACTCACACTCCTGCGAGCATACTTCATTGATTCCTCGAAATGTGCAGCCTTTATCTCTGCTACTTCATCCCCCTCCTCCATGTCCTCATCCATGGAGTCCGGGTTCTCCTGCAACATACATACATGCAATATCAATCTTCTAGCTAACTTGTCAATCATGAATACCAATATGGAGTCCCAATACTAGTGTTGTACTATCAGGGCCTGTTTGGACTTTGGAGTGGATGGCTTGGTTTACATCTTGATAAATAATCAGAAAGTTTCTCAAAATAATTTCAAGTTTTTATAAGCTCTTCAAAAAAAATATCAGACAGACGCATCCATCCAAACAGAACCTAAAGCACTAGCCGCTAAGCAGCCATGGGTGTGGTTCAGACTTCAGAGAAGAAATCTGATTTTCCAATGTTTGGGATAAACATAGGGTACAAATCCCAAATATCCCCGATAAAAAAAGTAGGCAGGAAAGGGAGTTTAGCGCTAAAGTGGGGACTAAGAAGTTTAAACCAAGAACAATAATACATACGAATAGGATGAAAGAGAGATCGGATTCTTTCAAATAAAAGAGAAGAGGGGTGTACTTTCTCAATGTTCTCACGAATGGCATATTTGCAGGCCCTCTGGCAGATCTCAGTTATATCGGCCCCACTAAATCCTTGGGTGTATTTTGCAAGAGCTCTTAGATTAACATCTTTGGAAACCGGAGATTTTCTTAGACAGGCTTTGAAAATCTGATGGCGTGAATCTTCATCTGGCAGAGGGATATAAATCAATTGATCGAGTCTACCGGGACGGAGGAGCGCAGTGTCAATAATATCAGGTCTGTTTGTAGCTCCAATGATGAAAAGTCTTCCTTGCTGTCATGCCATCCATCTCCGTCAGAAGTTGATTAAGAACCCAATCACCAGCACTACCTGCATCTCCAACACTGCTTCCCCTCTTCAACAATACCATACCACCAAGAAGCACTTATAAGCATTGCTATATAATGTTGTCACTTTAGAATTACATATGAATGCTCTCTCAGCCTTTCTATCCCAAAAAAGTGTCACGTTTCAAGAACTTTTGTTGTTCAAAAAAAAAAAAAGAAGACAACTTTTAAATGTCAATTTTGCTTTTATGTATTTTCATTTACAAGTAAAACTCCCTGTAAAATCAAGCTACCACCGTGTTAGTAAATTACTCAAACAATCTTTGAAGTGTTAAGGGTACAATGACCACTGACCGGTCATAACTTGTAAAGCTAGAACCTTGTACCATGACTGAGTTGACTAAAAATTAATGAGACAGAAGTAGCTATTAGAGCGAATTGCAGTTCCAATCCCACAGAACTTTGACATATGTAAGCTAGAAGCCTAGAACTTATCTTTCAGATCTTGTAAATTTAGACCATCAATTGTTATAATTGAGATGCAAATAGTTCATCCAACTAAAATCACCATTTAGTATCAAGCTTTACAAAGGCATTCTCAGAAATATAAAATGTTGTGAATGAGCCCAGAAACCCTAAAACATAGTATTCAACAGTGTATGCAGTTACTTTGAAGGGACAACTTATATCTAAATAATGACAATTGAAAAATAAATTTACGAAGATAGAAGTATAGAACGATAGATGCTGCAACCTACGTTACATAACTTTGAAGGGACAAGTGTCGTTTTCCGTGGCTACTGATTAATGTCTCTTTCTAGTCGTCTAATACTATAATAAGCACCTCAATTGAATCAATTAATGCTAAGACAGCCTTTGGTAGTATACAAATTAAAACTTTATATATGAAGTAATTTCAAAGAAACTGTGGGGATGCAATCATGCATTTGATCTGCATGTAAAATCATAGTGCACAGTTTTGTTATATATGCCCTCTTTTTTCGTAGGGAGTAACTGTCCCTTTACGTTTTACTGCGAAATGTATTTTGAAACCCTCCCCCATGTAAAATGTGTTATATGGTACAATGCAAATATATTTGAAAATATACCCTGCACTTTACATGCAAAATGTTAGTTCAGATCAAACAAAATGCCCTTTAAAATCACTCAACATATTACATATCTCGATCATATTAAATGTGAAAACCTCTTAAAATAGAAAGAGAGATACCTGAGTTGCAATAGAGTCCAGCTCATCAAAGAAGAGAACACATGGAGCTGAGCCTCTTGCCTTGTCAAAAATTTCACGAACATTGGCCTCACTTCCTCCAAACCACATGGTGAGCAATTCAGGCCCTTTGACACTGATGAAGTTGGCATGACACTCATTAGCAATTGCCTTGGCCAGTAAGGTTTTCCCACATCCAGGGGGGGCATAGAAAAGAACACCCTTTGAGGGTGACATGCCGAATTTTTCAAATTTATCAGGGTGTTCAACAGGATATTCTACCATCTAAAAAGAGAGCCGGAGATTAGTAAAATGACCAAGAGAAAAAAAAGAGGATGTGCAAAACATTTAAAATACAAGGTAGTGTTTGGATTGAGGGGTTGGAGCTAGGGTTGTAAATGAAGCGAATAATTTTGCTTTCGTATTCATTTGTATTCAATCGTATTCGAAGAAATCGAATCCCAATACAAATACTAGTATTTTCTATTCGTTACATCAACAACGAATAGGAATATGAATACCCCGTAGTACATAACTATTTGATTCAGTAAATATTCAATTATAATTGAATATTTATATTATCCAAATATTCAATACATGAATCATTTGTACTTAGCATTAGATGTAAAGGATGATAAAAAATGGAAAAATATCTGTTTTAAAAATCCATTTACTAATTTTTTTAAATTCAAATATTCTTCTAATGTGCCACATTTACTAGTTTTAAATTTTAATCAAATATAAAAAAAATAGTCTCGAAATAAAACTTTTCCCAAATTCAAATACTTTTACTAATTTCTTAATAGAATCAAATACGAATACTAAAAATTTCAAACCAAATACAAATCCTAATACAAAAACCTGTTGAAAAATCTGAGTACGAATAATAATTGTTATTATTCTATTTGATTCGTACAGCCCTAGACGGAGCATTGGATGGCATAGCCTAATCTTCATAAATAGAACGTATGTAAAGATTTAGACTAAGCCTTTCAAAGTCTTCCCATCCAAAATATTCCATCCAAACAGACACGAAAGGACCATTTCTAATTACCTCTTGAAGCTCAAGTTTAACATTTTCAAGCCCTCCAATGTCTTCCCAGCTAACATTGGGCACCTCTACAACCTGCAGGCAAACAGAAAAATTGGAAGTGATCCTCCAAAACTATATGAAGGACACCATGCCAAAAAAGAAACATTTTCAAGTGTACACTTACAGTCTCACGCAAAGCAGATGGATTGCCTTTTCCAAGAGCAGTGTGGAAGTGATCATTGGTAACCACCATAGAATCCAAAACTTCAGAATCAATTGTTTCATCCTCAAGATCTTTTCTCTGATCTTTGACATCCATCTTTTCTCTGATGCACTGAAGTGCAGCTTCAGTGAAGAGAGCTGCAAGGTCAGCACCAACATAACCATGTGTGTCTTTGGAAATTTTCTCCAGGTCAACCTACATCACAAGAGTAACCATTTTTAAGTCCAACCAAAATTCATGGAAAGAAAAAATAATTAGAAGTAAAGCAATGAGGGGGTCCTACATCCTCAGGGAGTTTCATATTCTTAGTGTGAATGCGTAGAACTTCGAGACGACCAACTTCATCTGGAACACCTATGTCTATTTCCCTGTCAAACCTACCAAACCTCCTAAGAGCCGGATCAATACTGTTGGGACGATTTGTAGCCCCCATAACAATGATGTGAGCACGGGACTTCAATCCGTCCATAAGAGTTAAAAGTTGAGAGACAATTCTTCTTTCAACTTCACCACGTGTCTTCTCCGGTTTGGGAGCAATTGAATCAATTTCATCAATAAATATAATAGATGGAGCGTTCTTTTCAGCCTCTTCAAAAGCTTTTCTGAGATTGCTTTCACTCTCCCCAGCTAACTTGGACATGATTTCTGGTCCATTGATACAAAAGAAACATGCCTCAGTTTCGTTGGCAACAGCTCTTGCAATCAGTGTCTTCCCAGAACCCGGAGGACCGTAAAGCAAAATACCCCTTGGTGGTTTGACACCAATGGATTCGAGAAGTTGAGGGTGCCTCAGTGGAGGCTCTACTAATTCACGAATCTGAGCCATTTGTTTCCTAACGCCACCAACATCATCGTACCCAATTTCATCAAGCCTGTCCTCATCCTCCCTCCTCACTGGCTCCCCCTCACAGAAGATTTCTGTATCGGGAGCAACAACACAATACTTACTTGGATCTGTCTCAATGACCTTGAATTCCACACTTCGCATGCCTCGTCGAACAAGGAAGTGGTCTCCTTTCCTCACAGGACGGAGTGCCTCCATAAAGTAAGCTACAAGAAACATGTTTGTCATTATCAAACGAGAAGGTATATCTTAAAACGTCAACTCAAATGTGAAGTCTATGAAAAATAGTAAAAGAAATACATATGCAACACAACCAAAATGTGTCTGTCTATGAAATACATATAAAACAAAATGCAACGCAACAAATAAAAGGGGACAATATAGTTTATGAAAATTAAAAACTGTTCATCAAGGTTGTCCTTTAACTGGAAATATACTTTTTTCAACAACAAAAACCTATTGTAAGAAAAAAAAATCAAATAGGATATTAGCCACTAACTATGAATTTAAAATAGAATAAACAAAATTTCTATTTCCAAACTAAAAATGTAACTATTACCATCCTGAAAAGTGTCATCAGTCCATCACAAGCAAGGTGATATTAGATGATCACTTTTGAGTTCTTAATTAAAAATATGGCACTGGCCCTAGCGAAATAAGCAGCTGGACTAAACTCCCTGTACTAAAGCACACCCAAAATGTTAAACATTGGAAATACAGGTACGCGTTAGAATTAGTTGCATACTTACGCTTCAAGTAGGATTCAAAAAGATCACCAGTTATCCCTTCAATTGTATCGTCTATGGGAAGTATGTGCACCCGCTTCCCGTGCTTGACATCAGGACATCGGTGTACAGACACAACATCAGCAAGACGAATTCTAAGATTTGACCGTACAACTTTATTCATCCTAATCTTCGCCTCTTCACAATTCTCATCAGCCAGTGCTATTACCACAGTATATTTCCTCTTTTTCCCCTGTAGAGTAATAAAATATATTGTAAGTTTCCCAAGATGATACACAAACAAGCAATAAACTCCGTGTAGAAAATGAACACGTGAAATTCAAGTTCAGTAAATTAATTTATGGTGGTGTATTGTATATTCCCAAAGTTGTGTTAGCATAACTTTCAACTATTCCAATTAGTTTTACATGTCACATGTCAATACATTCCCATGGTAGGATTACGCTCTTTAAAATGTACATATCTTGTAAAATCCCATTAAAAATTTGCATAAACAAGCTGTAAAATAATTGAAGGGAACTAGTTAAAAGGAACAAAATGCTGGGACAAGCTTAAACAAAAGGTAGAAATTCCACCCCCAAGTCGACCAAATGTAACAATCATTCTCAAAGCAAGGAGATTATCATGCTTAACCAAGTGCATGTGACACAACAATGTGACAGTAGTTTGATAGCTTCAACTCAATACACTTGCGAAGCAGCCAAGCCAATGAAAATGTTCCCAAAAAAAACAATAATGAAAATGTTCCCAAAAAAAACAATGTACAACAGAAGGAAATTACTTGAGTTTTCAGTATTCAATGCCTAAAATTATTCTAGATGTCAACTGATAGAATTTAGAATGGGGTAGTGATACTTGGATTGGGCAATAAGACACTTGGGCTAAACCACATTAAAAGATTGAATCCAATCGATTAGTTAGTTTAACTCAAGAGCTTATATACCGATTATTATACTCGTGGGAGTCGTGGACTTTCGATGTAGGATGCACTCTAACATCAACCAGGGTTGAAACCGGCTCAAAACATTAATAAGGGGAATATTATAATTATTCAACATACGCACGCGCACAGAGAAATAATAAAAGGAATTTACTTAAATAGCACTAAAACATAATGACTTTCCCTAAATAGCATCATATGTGTTTTTCTTCCCAATGTAGCACTTTTAGTCATTATGCATTAGTCATTATTCAAGTAAATATTCGCCATCACTGGACATTATGGACATTATTAAGTGCTATTTAGAGAATAAAACAATTTAAGTGCTACTTAGAGAAATGACTTAAGTTTTAGTGCTATTTAGTGCAAATATTTCAAATAATAAATCTTCCAAAAAGGTAGAGCATTGGACTAAAAAAATTCTAGGGCATGCAATAGAATTGAACAACTCTGATTTTTCATAAACAGCTGCAAACCACACTGGTTGAACAGACAATTAGTGAAATTTAATCCGGAAAAGGATGTTACCTTGATCCGAACCGTGTCTCCGCGGAAGAGTTGGAGCTTCTCCATTGTGGCAGGGTGGAGAGCAACGACAGAGTTGTCATCGCCGACAGCCTCATCGACGATGAGCCGATTCGGCGCCTTCTTCCGCTCCAGAATCGCAGTGGAGAAGTCCTTAGCATTTTTCCTAAAAGAACAGAAAGAGAGACAATCGCAGTAAAACAACCATTTTTCATTGAATATTTCGCTATATTTTTTATATTTACTCTTAACTTAGTCTGTTTTTACTCCCTCCGTCCATTTTAAATGTTCGTACTTTCCTTTTTAGTCTGTTCATAAATAATGTTTGTGTTTCCTTTTTTGGAAACTTTTTTATACCAAAAATACTTAATTACCCCTACCCATCCACCCTCTTTCCTACTTAAACGGATCCGATTCGCTGGTCGCTGTACCCGCCGGCGAATCCGTCCCCGCGTCGCTTCCGGAGCGGGAGGCGGCACCAAACTGCCGAACTCGTGCAACCTAGGCCGGTGGATGTTGTTGGTCCGCTGCGTGTAAAAAATAGACGGAGAAAAAGAGTTGATGAACAAAAGAGAAGGGGTGGGGGTATTTTGGTAAAAGTCAATGACATTTACATTTTTTCTTAATCTCCGTGCCCGGTCAAACCCTGAACATTAAAAATGGACGGAGGGAGTATCAAAAGTTTTGTTGAAGTTAATTGAATATGATGATCCACTAAAAATGGGTCAAATCCGATTGAACCCAAATTGAACTTGATCTTACCCAAAATCATATAATTTACTATAAAATATAATGTCATAAAAATAAAATTATAAAATTTATATTTCTTGAATTTTTAGTGTATAAATTTATAGTTTCAGACATACTTTTTGGTATTTTAATTTAATTCAGTGTTAAATGTAAGTATTACTCTTTCTGTCTCATTTTAAATTGTCTGTTTGCCTTTTTTCTCCGTCCCAAAATAAGTTGCTTGTTATTTGTTTTCGTAAACTTTTAAGAGTAAAATACTTAAACTACCCCTAAAATTAGTCACTCTTCACCACCTTATCTTCTTATTCATCGTCAACCCTTCTAAAAAATAATGACAATTTCAAAAAATCAATTCTATTTTTTCTTTTCCTTAAATATGTCCAAAAGTCAAAACGGGCAATTTAAAACGGAACGGAGGGAGTAGTATAACTTTAAAACTTTTTAAAAATAAAGGTTAAAATCCGTTGGATTGATCCAAACCAGATAACACTAGATCATGAGACCTGTAGTTCTCAACCCGAATTTGAATTAAACCGAACGCGACCTATTGACATAGGACGATTTGCTAACTCATAAAGAACTTACGAGTCCGATGACTCGGCTTGGTGACTCATTTCTGATAAATTAGATACGTCGGTGGAGAAGAAAACCTGCTTGCGATGAAATGAAAGTATTATTGATCCAAGGCATTAAATATGATCGAAAAAGGTTACGTTACTCCTTTGTTGTTAAGTTAAGTTCCAAAGGTCAAAAGAAAAAGAACAATGAGGGAGTGATAAACAAGTAAGAACGGATTCCATGAATAGGGTATTAGGGTGTGTACCTAGAGCTAAGTCTTTCCTTTGGCATATTTGTTGTTTATAATTATAATATTTCTTTACCACAATTTTTTAATACTCCTTGCGGCCTTAAAAACTCTTTTTCTTTTTTATTTTTTTTGGTTAAATAGTGACACTCTTTAACTTTACATTGTGAAAAAAATTGAATTATAATTTATTTATTCAATATAATTCAGTTCATTTTAGAATATAGTTTTCGTATATCAAATTTTTATAACATTTATTTATTTAGATTATTTTTAATTTGTGGTCAAAGAGTGTCACTGTTTGAATAAAAAAATCAAAACAGAAAGATTTTTTAGGATCGAATGAAGTATAAAAAATATGATGCTCAAAACTTTAGATTGTATAGTGTGTGTTGAAGCTGAGTACTTCAATTCAGCATTCTGAGAGATAGTTCATCCACTTGAGCTAATAAACATATTGTTATGTAAATCACGCAATAGAATATTTATAGACTAGGTTGATTTCAATAAAACTTCCAATAATTTATAAAAAGAAACACTAGTATCTAGTATACTTATTTTATGAACTAATAAAAATTGTTCACAAAATAATAATAAAAAATTGTTTATGTTTTATCTAAGAATTAGTATGAATACTTATACCTAAAAGATTATTTCTTTTCCAAAAAAACCAAAATTTATTGTCATCAATAAAAATTAAAAAAAAATTATTAATAATTACTATTAGTTATACTTTAAAATTTCAAAATTAATTTTTTCTTCTACTTTTTCTCATTTCAATCAACTAAGTATAAGTCTGAAGCGTTACATATGGACTATAGAGTACTATATAAGAACACATTACGTAGTCTTTACCTTTTTTAAAATATAAGTATTGCCTTACTATTAAGTATTTATTAGATATTCAATATTTATATAAGAGTAAATTCCATAATGGGTCCTTTATAACAGGGGGGTTTCCATATTTAGTCCTCTATTATCAAATATTACCCACGTAGTCCTTTTTTAAGGGTACCTTTCCATAAATGGTCCTTTTTTGATCTTCTGTCGTGTTGGTGTTAATTTAAAGGCTAAAAGTATAACTTGACGTCAACATTATGTCTAGTGACGTGTTCTGATATTGGTTAAACGGATAACACAAAAATAATGACAATGATTGTTGGCTAGGATTCTGACGAAAGATCACATTTGTAGACTATAATTGTCGTAAAAAGCGACTGTAATTCACAAACGATGCAAACGGGACGGCCTTTGAAATTGTGTATGACAAAAAAGATATATATATTTTTTTTTGAAAACAAAGAAATCACTTCACTCAACCAAAAAAGGCCGTACAAAATCAGGTGGAGTCACAAACCAAACCCCAGCATCCATCACAACTCTTTTCGCCAACACATGAGCTACCACATTAGATGTTCGAGGGACAAATGACAAAGTAGCATAATTAAACTGAGATAACAAGCCTCGACAATCACTAATAATCGAACCAACATAAGACAAAAAAGTAGACTCTCCATTTATTGCATCCACAACCCTAGAGCAATCCGAGAACACCTCCAACTCCGTAAGTCCTTGCTCCCTCGCCCAACCCAAAGCCCTTCTACATGCCATCGCCTCCGCTAAACCTGGATCAGTCTCACATACTAATTCTCCATTCAACGCAGCAAAAAAAGAGCCATCATGGTTAAAGAGAACACACCCAAAGCTAACCATAGAAGAAGGGGGGAATAAAGCTGCATCCACAAACAATTTGAAAGCTCCTGATCTTACCGGCCTAGGAGATGGTAAAGGCAGCCCAACCGCCCGACTAGAAGTACTCCTAGACCAACTTTTTTGAGTTTCAGTAACAAGACATACCGTGCTCGAGGGTGTAGGAACTTGAAACCGCCAAACTGCAGCATTGCGGGCTTTCCATAACGCCCAAATAGCCAAAGCAAACAGCTGCAACTCTGATCGAGAGGTTGTCTGCACCACCTCCCGAAACCAGGCGTGAGCCGAAATGCTCCCTTCACGAATAACACGCAAACCCAACCGGGCCCAAATTGTCACTGCATAAGGACAGTGAAGGAATAAATGCTCAACCGTCTCCTCACCCAAACCACAAATAGGACATACATTCACAATGTTAAGTCCCTTAGTGTTAAGGTTAGAGATGGTTGGCAAAATATTTTTGATAGCTCGCCATAGACAAACCTTGATTTTCGGTGCAACTGGGATATGCCAACAACGTGTCCAGTTCACCTCATTTGCTGCCGCTTCAACCTCTCCAACATGCCTCCTATAGCCATCCTTAACATTGTAGCCTCCATGCAAAGTACCAGCCCAGAACCACCCATCCTCGTGTGCAGCAGAGAAAGGAGTTCTAAGAATTCTGTCCGCAACTGCCGAAGGAAACCACTGCCGCACCACCTCCATTCTCCAACAATTGCTTCGCTCATCAATAAGGAAGTGTACCGGCATGTTTGGCATAAACGGTGGTGGTGATGAATCCACAACTGAATTACCATGGCTCGCCATCCAAGGAGGACCCCAAATCAGAGTTTTCCTCCCATCTCCAATTCGTCGCCTAACTCCAGCTCTTAATAGATCTTGGGCTGCAAGGATGCTCCGCCAACAGTAGCTCGGATTAGCGCCTAACCCCGCCTCAAGAAAGGAGGATTTTGGGAAGTATCTTGCTTTAAACACACGTGAAACCAAAGCCTTCGGTTGCACTAGAAATCTCCACCCTTGCTTTCCTAACATTGCCACATTGAAGCCATGAAGCTGCTTGAAACCCAGACCTCCAAATTTTTTAGGGATAGTTAGGCGTTGCCAAGACATCCACTTGATACCGGTAGAATTCATCCCCTTGCCACACCACCAGAAGGAGTTCATCATTCGTTCAATGGCCGAACACAATGACCGTGGAAGTAAAAAAACTGACATGGCGTACTGGGGCATCGCCTGTGCTACAGTTTTTAAGAGGACCTCTTTCCCTGCCCGTGAGAGTATCTTTTTTCCCCACCCGGTAAGCCTGCATCGAATCTTATCTGCAATATAAGAAAACACTTCAGTTTTATTCCTCCCTAAAAAAGAGGGCAAACCAAGATATTTTCCAAAATCCTCCGACTGAGTAACTCCAAGGAAAGAAGAAAGTCCCCCCTAAACAGCATCATTTGTGTTGGTACTAAAACAAATGTTAGATTTATGAAAATTCACCATCTGCCCCGAACTACGTTCATAATCATCGAGACATCTCTTCACCTCTCGAGCCTCCTCTTCAGTAGCCTTAAATAAAATAAGGCTATCATCGGCGAACAGAAGATGAGAAATAGGAGGAGCCCCGCGAGCCACTCTAATACCATGCACTAAGTGTCTTCATTCTGCATCCTGTAAGAGAAAAGAAAGGCCCTCTGCACATAAAATAAACAGATAAGGACTAAGGGGATCACCCTGACGCAAACCCCTAGTCGGAATGATAGGCTCTGAAAGAACTCCATTGACAAGGACTCTATATCGGACTGAACGAATGCACAGCATTATTAGATTGATCCAGTCTCTGTCAAAGCCCAATTTAAATAACATGAACTCTAGAAAGTTCCATTCCATGCGATCATAAACTTTGACCATATCCAGCTTGAGCCCTGCCCACCCCACTATCCCAGCATTCTTCCTTCTAAGAAAGTGACCGAGTTCAGATGCAAGAAGGATATTATCAGAAATAAGCCTACCTGGAAGAAAGGCAGACTGTGCCTCAGAAATGATATGATGTAACAAGGGCTTCAGTCGATTTGCTACCATCTTCGCCACAATTTTATAAATAATATTACAAAGAGCAATTGGCCTCAAATCAGCAACAGTATCCGGGCATTGTTTCTTCGGAATTAATACTATGGTAGCATCGTTCATACCTTCAGGAAATGAAACATTCCTAACACAATTAAGCACAAATCTTGTCACATCCTCACCCACAATGTCCCAAGAACGTTGGAAAAAACTTGGGTTCATCCCATCTGGCCCAGGTGACTTATCTGGATGCATTGAGAACAGCGCCTTATGAACCTCTGAAGCATCAAAGGGACGAGCTAACTTGGAATTAAATGCATCTGTCACCCTGCGCTCTAAACTATCAAAGACTGGTGCAATGACTCCATTAGTTGAGGCGTAGATGTTCCGAAAATAGTGATCAACTTCAGACATAATCTTCTCCCCCTTCACCCAACGTCCATCGGATGCACGAATTCCATGAATCTGATTTTTTCTTCGTCTGTACGAAGCATATTGGTGGAAAAAAAGAGTATTAGTATCACCCGACTTCAACCAGTGCTGTTTTGCCCTTTGTCGCCAATATGCATCTTCTTGGTCCAATAGCTTAGACAACTCCTTATCTGCCTCATTAAAAGCTCGGATCCCCGCCGGAGTACGTTGAGGTCAAAACTTTCTAATGCGGTCTGAAAGCTCCCTCTTCCTCTTGCCAAACTTTTGGAAGCAGTCTCCACCCCACGCTTGAAGCCGTTTGCCACAGAAAGCAAGTTTCTCAGGTAGGGATAAAGGCGCTGCATCAGACCAGATTTGTATCAATGTGTCTTTGAATCTCTCATCCTGGAGCCAAGCATTTTCAAACCGAAACCTCTTAATCCGAGATATATAAGCAGTCCCAGTAACTCTAAGTAACAAAGCTGAATGATCTGAGCTCCTCATATCAATGTTGAGGACACAAGCTCGTGGAAAAAGCGCTAACCAAGCATCAGTAGCCACTGCTCTATCTAACCGTTCCTCAACCCAATCTGTCGAACCCCTTCCACGCTCCCACGTAAAAGGATACCCTTTCATACCCAAATCAATCAAACCACAATCACGCAGTGCTTCATTGAACCCCAGTAGTAACGACATTGGATGAGGGGCTCCCCCTCTCTTCTCTGTTACAACACATAAATCATTGAAATCTCCAATGACCATCCAAGGGAGATTTGACCGACTAGCAAGGGATCGTAAAAGGTCCCATGAAGAAGGACGCAGTTCTCTCCGAGGATTACCATAGAAGCCTGTAACCCGCCACATTGGTCCACCATGTAAAGAAATAGCCACATCGACATGGAATCGAGAGTAACTGATTAAACTAGATGTGTTATTTAAACGCCAAAGAAAAGCTAAACCACCACTTCGACCCATACTGTCCACACTGAATGCACCATCAAAACCTAGTTTAAGTCGAAGCTCCTCTGCCTTGACCCTAGCACACTTTGTTTCCATCAAAAAGATAAAGTCGGGCTTTCTAGTGGACACAAGATCCACCAACTCCTGAACTGTCCGTCGGTTGCCCAACCCACGGCAGTTCCAACTTATAATACTCATTGGCCTGGGCGAGCCTGGAAACCCGGGCTCGCCCCCATACCGTTTTTTGAAACATCTACCAGCATATCAACCTCTCCCCTAACCACACCTTCATTCATGCCCCTCTTGCGTTTAGATATCAGATACAGCCCCTCCTCACCATTATGGTCCTCAGGGGAAGAGTTGCTCCCCAATTCACTTTCACATAGTGTCTCCAAGTTTGGGTCCTCATACCGCAGCCATGGTAGCCCCATTTTCAGCTCCTTTTTCCTACCTCCAGCCCTCAGGGAAGCATCATACGGATAGTCCACAACCTCAAGTGATGACAATAACGCCCCTCGGCAGTGCTTAGATTGATCGATGTCCCATAATCCCACAGAAATAGCAAAAGGAAAGTAGGCGTTCATACCTAAAGTTTATCCAGACCACTGTCCCATCTCGCTTTGTTAATCTCATCTTTTTCTTCAAAGGATTCCTCACACCTACCGCTACTCTGACCCTGAAAAATTCCATCCGGGTCCTCGAATTGGTTATTGCCTCTACCCGTACACATTTGCCAACAAAGTTTCCAATAGCTTCCAGAATCGTCGGTGACGTATACCCCTGGGGGAGGTTCCAGATTTGAACCCACATTTCAAGAAACACCAGATCACGAGCTTCAATCGATTCATCAGCCTTAAGAAATTTAGTAATCAAAGGGCATTATCAAAGGACCATGGCCCCTCATCAATAATACGTAAAGCATCCTTCTCATGATAAAAATGGAAGAGAATTAATCCTTCATCTTTCTGCTCCATCCTGACTCCAAAGGCAGGCTGCCAAACCCCAGCGAGCACCTGCTGCATAATATCAAATTTAACAGGTCTATCGGAAAGAAATCTTCCCGCAACTCTCCAAGTACGCACAGTAATTCGGGGCTCTGACCCATCATCGATTGGAGCAAAAGACAGCCCCTCTTCATCTCCATACAATCCAATTTTCGCCATGTTCTGCTGAAGCTCCTCCATTAGAATCAGATTCTACTAGATGCTAGAAAAAAGAAATCGACAAAGATGAATAAATTTGGCTAAGAAGAAACGGCGATGAAGCCCCAACTCGTAGGGAGAAAAACCCTAAGTCATAGGGAGATTATCTAAAACTTGATTTGACAAAAAAGATATATTATCATTGTGAAATTACACTTTTAGCCCTCAAATTAACACCAACATGATAGAAGATAAAAAAAAAGAACTATTTGTGGAAAGGTACCCATAAAAGAAGGACCACTTGGGTAATATTTGATAATAGAGGACTAAATAGGGAAACCTCCCTGTTATAAAGGACCAATTATAGAATTTACTCTTTATATAAGAACACATTAATAGTAATTAAAAAATAATACAAATAGAAAATAGAAAGTGTGACAGCATATGCAAAATAAATATTGAAAACTAGATGGAAGAGTGAAAAAAAACACAAACTAAGGTTGCACACTTTATTTTGGTAGGCCTTTAGGGTCTTTCCCGTCCTGACCCAGGCCATGGAATTCTCAAGACATGCTTTGCAACGTAGTATTCTTTCCAAGCTTCTTGAGGTCGGTGTAAGGCTTCTGGTGATCTGAAGAACCTTGCAGCCTGCATGTATCAACCAGACTTTCTCGTATGTTTCGCGAACAAGGTCAGGTCCTTTGAGATTGGGCTCACTCAACTCGGTCTAACAGAACGGGGTTCAGTGGCGTCTTCCATACAATGCCTCATACGGAGCCATCTAAATGTTAGCCTGATACCTGTTGTTATAGGTCAATTCCATCAATGGTATGTATCACTCCCAACTATCTCCAAAGTCGATGAGGCAAGCTCTCATCATGTCTTCCAAGATCTAAATCGTTCTCTCAAACTAACCATTTATTTGAGGGTGAAACGCAGTATTGAAATTAAGATTGGTACCATAAGCCTAATGAAAACTCTTCCAGAACTGAGATATGAATCGCGGGTCACGATCTGAGATAATGGATGCTCGCACTCCATGGAGCCTAACAATCTTGCGGATATAAAGTTCAGCTAGCCTCTGCAAGAAATAATCATGTCTGATAGGAAAAAATGAGCTGACTTAGTGAATCTATCTACAATGACCCAAAAGGCATCATTCTTCTTGTTTGACAGGGGTAAACCTATCACGAATTCCATCGTGATCCTTTCCCATTTCCACTCAGGGATGACTGGTGGATTTAGCAATCCACTCGACACCTGATGTTCCACCTTGACTTGCTGACAAGTCAGACATCTAGAAGTAAACTCAGAAATTTCTTGTTTCATGATCAGCCACCAGTAGGTTTGCTTGAGATCTTGATACATCTTATGGTTACCTGGGTGCATGGTGTACACGGTTTCATGAGCTTCTCGTAGCAAGCATTTTCTCACTTCGCCCTCAGGTACCACCAAGCGATCTCGATAGAACAAAATGTCATTACCACTGAAGTTGTAGTCTTGTCTCTCCCCCTTTGAGACAAGCCCACAAGTCTTCACACAGAAGTCATCCTTTGATTGAGCTGTACGAACTTTGCTGTCCAAAGTAGGTTGAAGTCGCGGCTCGGCCATAGTCTTCCGACTCAAGGCATCAGCCACCACATTGGCCTTGCCAAGGTGATAGTCAATATAGCAGTCGTAGTCCTTGATTAGCTCTAACCATCTTCATTGCTTCAAATTTAACTCTTTATTAATACTCCATCACACAAAAGTCATCCTTTGACTGAGCTGTATGGACCACATATTTATTTTCTTAAAAAAAAAGAAGAAGAAAATTTGAGACACCCTAAATAAGAAAGAAGAAAGATAATTATGTGACAAATGGAGTGATTTTTATTTTTTGAAAACTATTTCATAAATAGTACAGAATACTACTTCAAAAACTATATGTAGAAAAGACAATCTTGTAAAATACTTTTAAAAGACTATTTTTATTAATATACAGTACAATGTAATACGGAGTATTTATTTAATCCGTAATTGATTATCAAAATTTGTTCAATTTGAAAAAAAAATAAACTAAACAAACAAAATGATTCAAATTTCTTCAAAAGAAGAGAAAAACACAGAAAAAGAAACCCATAAACCGAGTAAGAGCTTATTCTTAATGTTATTACAATTTATTTTTATTTTTATTGAAATCAGATCAGATCAAACTAGATCAAGAACAGTTCTAAATTAAACTACATTCATATCAAATGAGACCAAATCAAACCAGACGTAAATAAAAAATAAAATCAAATCAAATTCAAAAGGAGAACAAGCTCTAAGCCATTTAAGTCCAAAGCACACAAGCACAAACTGGAAGGCACACTTGAAAATTTAAATAAAATTATGTTGGCAAAGAAGCATAGGGCTTAAATATCTGAATGGGAGAATTGATTTATAACGTCAACAACGGACTTCATAAGAAAACCAAACATAAGAAACCCAAACACAGACAGACACAGTAGTAAAAGAAAGAACATCACCGGAAATACTGTTATCAAGCGGATAGAAAAAACAAACACTTTTAGCTATACAGGTCGTCTTCATCAGCTGCCGCCGCTGCAGAAGTTGCAAACGGGTCAGAGCCGGCGGCGGCACCACCGACGCTCCTCCCCGACTCGGAAAACCGGAACTCTGTTCCAAAGCCACGGGACTGCTGCAACGTTTGGGCAAACGCCTGGTATTTGCGTATGTCAGCGTCACTCACACTCCTGCGAGCGTACTTCATTGATTCCTCGAAATGCGCAGCCTTTATCTCTGCTACTTCATCCTCCTCCACGTCCTCGTCCATGGAGTCCGGGTTCTCCCTCCTCCTCCTCTCCCTTTCTATATCCTGCAACAATACATACATACATACAATTTCAATCGTCTAGCGAACTTGTCAATTGCAAATACCAATATGGGAGTCCCAATACTAGTGTTGTACTATCAGGGTCTGTTTGGACTTTGGAGTGGATGACTTGGTTTACATCTTGGTAAATAAGAAGAAAGTTTCTCAAACCAGTTTCAAGTTTTTATTAAATCTTCGAAATAATATCAAGGCAGACGCATCCATCCAAACAGAACCTAAAGCACTAGCCGCTAGGCAGCCATGGGTGTGGTCCAGACTTCAGAGAGGAAATCTGATTTTCCAATGTTTGGGAAAAAACATAGGGTACAAAACCCAGGTATCCCCAACAAAAAAAGTAGGGAGGAAAGGGAATTTAGCGCTAAAGCGGGGACTAGGAAGTTTAAACCAAGAATTAAAAAGAAAAAAAAATGAGAGGGACGTACTTTCTCAATGTTCTCACGAATGGCATACTTGCAGGCCCTCTGGCAGATCTCAGTAATATCGGCCCCACTAAATCCTTGAGTGTATTTTGCAAGAGCTCTTAGATCAACATCTTTGGAGACCGGAGATTTTCTTAAACAGGCTTTGAAAATCTGATGGCGTGAATCCTCATCTGGCAGAGGGATATAGATCAATTGATCGAGTCTACCAGGACGGAGGAGTGCAGGGTCAATAATATCAGGTCTGTTTGTAGCTCCGATAATGAAAACAGTCTTCTTTGCTGTCATGCCATCCATTTCCGTCAGAAGTTGATTAAGAACCCGATCAGCAGCACCACCCGCATCTCCAACACTGCTTCCCCTCTTCAACAATACCATACCACCAAGAAGCACTATAAGCATTGATATATCATGTTGTCACTTAACTTTAGAAATACATATGAATACTCTCTCAGCCTCTCTATCTCAAAAAGTGTCGTGTTTCAAGAATTTTTGTCATCCCAAAAAAAAACTTTAAAATGTCGATTTCATCTTTACTTATTTTCGTTTACAAGTAAAACTCCCTGTAAAGTAGAGCTACCACCGTGCATAGTCAATTACTCAAGCAATATTTGAAGTGTTAAGGGTACAAGTGACCACTGACTGGTCATAACTTGTAAAGCTAGAACCTTGTACCTTAATTGAGTTGACTAAAAATTAAAGATTGTACCTTAGTCAAAGATGACTCTTTTAATGGGACCGGAGTAGCTATTAGAGCGAATTGCAGTTCCAATCCCACAGAACTTTGACATATTTAAGCTAGAAGCCTAGAACTTATCTTTCAGATCTTGTAAATTTAGACCATCAATTGTTATAATTAAGATGCAAATAGTTCATCCCACTAAAATTACCATTTAGTATCAAGCTTTACAGAGGCATTATAAAATGTTGTGAATGTCCCCAGAAACCCTCATACATAGTATTGAACAGTGTACACAGTTACTTTGAAGGGACAACTTATATCTAAATTATGAGAATTGAAAAATAAATTTACGAAGATAGATAGATAGATGCTGCAACCTATGTTACATAATATCAAAAACTCAGGGACAAGTGTCGTTTTCCCTGGCTATTGACTACTCTCTCTTACTCTCTTTCCCTTCGTCTGATACTCCGTATATAATAAGCACCTCAATTGAATCAACTAATGCTAAGACAGCCTTTGGTAGTACACGAATCAAAACTTTATATATGAAGCAACTACAAAGAAACTGTGGGGATGCAACCATGCATTTGATCTGCATGTAAAATC